TTTGTATGCCTCAGTTTTCATGAATTTTTAAAAAGTTTCCATTTCTCCTGGGTTTCGGCAGGTTTTCTGGGGTGTGTGTGCCCCAGTGCCAGCTCCGCATCCTTCTCCTTGACCTCCTGGAGCAAACAAAGGAGACAGAAAGTCAGCTTGGATCTCCCCACCCTGGGAAGTTTTTGGATGATTTAAGAAACCAAGTGTGCCACAGCTCAGGGGATGAAAGGGTCAGCGTGGTGATCGGATCCAGTGCTTGGGTCCTGGCACAGCCATTGTGCCACTCCTCCCTCTGGCAGCACTCAAACGTGAAAATACAGATGGTGCCACTTGCAGGGTAGGGATGGAGACTTGGAGGAAGGAGGCTTTGGGAAGGGAAAACAAAATTAGCCAAGCCCTCAATGGACTGAAAAAACCCAAATGCATTTCTTTGTTGTTCACTTTGTTGTTGGTGCGAAATGCAGCCTCCATCTGTGACTGGAAGCTGGAAGTTGCCTTCTCCCTCTAGCCCTGTCCAGAGAAGAGAAATTAAGCCAGGACAGAGGAAAATGGAAATTCCAAGATGGAAAGCATAGATAGGATCTGTGAATGCAGCCAAGCCAGGCACTTCAGTTTAAATCTAAGCATAGACAAGCTGGAAGCTTCACCCCACCACACCAACCTGAACTTCCATCTGCTTCCAGTAGGCCACAGAGAGCTTGGAGACCAGTCTGGCCATCCCAGAGGCTGAAACCTGTGCCCAATCTGCACCCCAGGGGTTCCTGTCTGCAGAGGTTGGCAGTGGTGACACTGCAGTCCCACCTATGTCCCGGAGCTGGAGCCTGTCTTTGGCAGCTCCCAGCCCTGTCCCAATGTGCAGCAGCCTGTGGGGAATGGTGTCCCCACATCCTGGCCCGGAGGAGCCAGCAGCACCCCCAGTGAGCCCCTGGGGCTGCATAGGGGCTTGCTGGCTGTCCAGGCAGAATCTTTGTTTTCAGCCCTCAATCAAACACTCATGGATAGGCCATGTGTGCAGAGCTTGGATTATTATCGTCTTGAAGGAATAAAATGCAGCATTGGAGCTTTTGGGATTCAAACCAATGCTTCCAGGCCTCCAGATATATTCCAGTGCTGATGCTGGAAACAGGGACGGCATTCCCTCCAGCGAGACAGCCACTACATCACACGGGACCTGCACGAGGAAATAATGATGTACGGCTGGCCTTGGGGCACTCTTTGCAGCTTGATTGGCCTCCCTGGCAGAAGAATAACCGAGAGTTTATTGCCTCTCTTCCAGTGATCTTTACTCCCAGCTGTTTTCTCAGGAGGGCCTGGATCCTCATACCTCATCTGAATAGCCATGGACTGCTGGTGGGGCACGGAGTTGGTTCCTGGGCACTGAGGTGCTGGTTCCTGGGATGGGGCTCTGCTCTCACAGGGGAAATCCTGCCTCACCTCTGTCCAAAGCAGAGGATGATATCTGGGACCCCTTTTCCCCTCCTCCTGCAGGTGCAGTGAGCTCCTGGAGCAGCACCAGCACCCTCAGCCTCAGCACCCAAGCATCCCAAATGGACAGCATCCATGTGCTCGCTCCTTCACACCATGTCCCCTTCCCCAGCACCAAAACACCCAGTGCACCTGTGTCTCAATGCTGCACCTGGGCAAAGCCCCTGCAAGGGGTCCAAGAGGCCACTTCTGACTTAAATCCCATCTGCCTGGGCAGGAAAAAGGGAAAAAGAGCCCCTTCATGCCAAAAGCTGGTGATTCCCAGCTCCTGGTGCTGTTTACAGAGGGCAAAGGTGAGGTTGTGGCAGGTGATTTTTCCCCCTTTCCCTGGCCCTCCTGCAAACAGCCCGATTGCTATGATTCCTCTGTCATTAAAATGTAAATGAAAACAGACACAAAAACAATCTGAATTTCCAGCTGAGTTGCTCTTGCTTAATATTCTACCCCGAAGGGGGATGTGCGGAAGCAACAACATTTCAAAGGGAATCATTAAAGAAGGGAGGCTCAAACTGCGTTTCCATCAGATACCACGGCAGAGCCCAGCACTTGGGGTCCCACCCATCCCAATGCCCCTGGAAAGGATGAGCAGGAAACTGGTCCTGGAAAATGAACCATCAGAGCCAGGGTGAGGAGGATGCTCACACTGAGTGGGGCTGTGCTGGTCATGTCCCAGCATGGTCCAGTTCTGGCTGGGGATGGGCAGTGCTGCTCCAGGTTCATGTTTCTGGCTGCAGTGATCAGGCTGGGATGATGCCCAGATTTTAATGTGTTCCAAGGTTTTAGAAATACCCTGGAAGGGCATCAGGGTTTGCAATGTGTCCTGACACATCAGCAGTGCAAGGTGGGGGGAAGATCCTGGTATTCCAAATCCTGCCTCCTACCTTGTCCACCCTGAGCTCTTGGTGCTGGTGCTGCTCTGCTCTGTTTCAAGCATGAGGTGAATGTATTTCTTCTGTATTTATTCTGCCAGTGTGAGGCAGTTAAAATGAAATATAAAACTTCAGGGAGTGAGAATAGCCAGAAAAATCCTGTGAATGGTGCTTCTGTCCCAGTGGATGCTGCTGGAACAGGAGGGATGCACCAAGGCTCAGGGCCACACATGAAATCCCAGGATCTGCCTCCAACCCACCTTTTCCCACTAGTCAGTGCCTCTTACCCAGGGCTGCAGGAAATGGAGCCTGGATGGACAAGGAAGATCTCTCTGTGGAGAGACTGGAGCAGCAGGACAGAGCCCCCCTGCTGCCCACTACATCTCCTGGACCTCCCAAGCAGTGGCAGGCGCTCCCAGCATGGTGGCACATATGGATCCTATAAGGGCTGAGCTCATCTCTCTGGGCAGCCTCACTCCTCCAGCCTGGGAAGGATGTGAGGTGGGACATGGGGTGCCCAGGGGGGGTGGGACCACCACCAGTGGGTGCTGCCTGGATGTGACGTTTGGGCTGAGGGGAGCAGCTGTGGCTGTGCTCATCTTCCCAGCTGAGAGCAAGGAAAGCCCTTTTCCCACTGCAAACCAAACATGGGATCTGGAAGTCTTTGAGACACAATAAACAAGGGATCCTGGGATGCTTTAACTCTGGATAATGGCCTGAGATGATTAATTTTCTTTTGTACTTTCATTGCATCAGTTACCACATCATTCAATTTTATTTTTAAAGACTTTTTTTAATTCCACAAAATACTGGAAAGGGTTAGAGTGGATTCCAATTTCAACGTAAAATATTTCCCTCCAAAGCTTCATAAATACTTGATTTTGGTTTAAAGCCATTGTTTTAACTTTCAAAGCAAGACAACGTTTGCCAGACCTTGCTTTGTGCAGTAAAATTGACCCAGTGTCACAGGGATTTGATATAATAGTAATAATAAACTTTCAGAGGAGGCCTTGAAACCAGAGGGGCTGTGGGTCAGGCACAGGAATTCAGGCTCAGATGCCATGGAGTCCATACAGATCCCCCTATGCTGGGGGGGAGCCCCAGCGTGGCTCCAGGTCTCTGCTGGGACCAATGGCTGGATCCAGATCCTGCTGGTGGCATTCCCACTGACCTGGGGGTGTTTGGGGCTGGAGCATCTGCCCTGAGAGCCAAGTTAATCCCTCTATGAGGTGAGAACTGAGCCCTTTTATCGAGGTTTGGCAATCCCTGAGAATGGGGAAATCCCTGGCGTGGAGTCCTGGGTCAGACCCCTGTCCCAGCCCCGTGCTGGAGGCTGCCTGTGGCCCCCATCCCACCTGAGCTGCACCCAGAGGGGGCTGAGTATACAGGGTCAGAGTGTCCTGCCCTCCCCCCCCCTCAAGCTGGCCTGGGCTCAACCCTGCAGCTTTTTGTGTCTTTATTGGTTTTCCCCCACAATTGGTCGGGTTTTTAATTACTTCCCAAATCTCATTTGGGGCACGGGAGGTGGGGGTGGAAAAGCTCTGTCTGAAGCTGATTTTGCAAATCAGTTCTGGCCATCTCCAGCCAGGTCCTGAGGCAGGAGCACTGGGCTCCCAATAACCAGGGAGGAAGCCTCTTGTTGCCAGAGCAGATCCACCTCTTTGATGTGTTCCCGCAGTTATTCTTTCATTTCTTGAGCAAATAATCTGGATTTTCACAATATTTACCTTGGAAATAATTATTTGTGTAAAGCATTTGACCAAGATAAACAGAGAATCTCTCAGTCTCACTGCGGGGCTGGGAGGGCTTGTGCTCTCCCAGACCTGCTGGAGCATGGGCTCCATGGAAAGTGGATGAGGTGAGAAACGAGCTCAGAGAGGAGCACTCCACATCCTATGGAACCCCGAGTGCTTGGACAAACCTCCCGGCAGCCCTGGCTGCATGGCACGGATGAAGATGGAAAAATGTGTCCACTCTGCCCTTCACACCTTGTGTGTCTGTACATGGATCCCTGAATTGCATCCCTGGATTCCCACAGACGCGGAGGCTGGAAAGGAGAAGCAGGAAGGGGTGGGGGGAAAGGTGAGGGAGGGTTCAAAGGGCTGTTACAGCCTCGCTTTTTCATCTCTAATTAATCTCTGTGAAGCCTGAGGCAGAGTCACCTTTGGGTCAACACTCAGGTGTTGTTATCTGCCACCTCCATCACCCGGAGCTGCCCCCCATGAGCAAGGCTGCGGGGCTGGGTGCCAGGAATCCTGGAATCCGGTCCCCCAGGTTCCAGCCACGTTCTCCTGGGGCAGAGCTAAATCCCGCACTCAGCTGCACCCCAGAGCCGGCTCCCTGCTGCCCCATGGGAGAGAGGGGAGCAACAGACGGTGCTTTAAAAACCTTTAAAAATTGAGCCTGGATGAATGGCCAGCGCTGGCACAGCATGCCAGCATGCCCAGGGATGCAGGGATGGGAGGAAGGTACCAAGACCTCGGCCTGCCATTCACCCTCAGTCCCACCTGTGCACGCTCAGCCCCCACGGCGAGCACGGGGTGGCTGCTCCCAGCCCAGCAGGCTCGGGAAGAGAAAGAAAGGAAAAAATCCAGCAGAGGCTCAGCTCATTCAGCTCCAAGGCTTTTATTAAGGTGTGCAACATGCCCACAATCACGGGTCTGGGATACGACAGAGGCAGCAGGCGCTGAACACGAATGAGGAGATGGGAGGTGAGGGCAGCATGAGCCTTGCGGGAAGCTGCCAGAATCCCCCAGCGATGGCACAGGTTGCTTTGAGCTGAGTGCACCCTTTGCCACCAAAATGTCCTTTTTGGAAGAGGATTTTTGTGGACCTCCTCACTTCACCCACTGGCAGCAGCCCCAGGGGGAGCAGAGCCTAGATGTGTCCCATGTGGGGCAGGAGGAGGCTGGTACTGCCCCTGGACCTTGAGTCACTGGTGGACTTGGCCATAGTTGTTTATCCACAGTCCAGGAGTATCTGGTGGGTGGTGGGTGCCAGGATCTGACCAGGCTGCCCAATTCTGCTGTTCGCTGGGGTCCTGGTGAAGTGGCTCTGATGGCAGGAGGCAGTTTGGCTGGAAGCAGCATGGCAGCTCTGGAATCCCTCATCACCCTCCTTTGCAGATGATAAATGGAATCAGTGCCCAGCTTTACTTGGCAGCTGGGGCAGGACAGAGAGTGCAGACTCCTCTGTCTGAACCCTCACTGCCCACTGCTGCTCTTCCACATCAGCACTTAAATGGAATATGTGTCCTATGGATATACAGCAAAGCACAGCAAACAAACACAGCAGCTCCTTTTCCATCTCTAGTTAAGACAATTGTTCTTTGGGTTCTGTGTACAGCAAAATGCAGATCCAAAAAAAACATTCTCTTTGCTCTCAAATGATAAATTAATATAAACACCAACACGACAAGTTCATGAGCAGCTTTAGGATCATGCACTGAGTGAGAGTATTGCCCACGGCAGACAGATGTGCACACACACATAGACCTAAATTAACTTTTCTCTAATACTGACATTAAAAATATAAATTGTTGGTGTTGGATCATTTCACTTAAATTTACTTTTCAGCATTCTGAGGTCACTTTTCAGAATGATTTTTTCTCTCTCACAGCCCAGGACACCTCACTCTCACCAACAAGTGACATTTGCCAGGAGCTGGGCTTTGGCTGCAGGTGGATGTGGGAATGAAGCACATGCTGGAAGTGCTCTGCCCAGGGAGGTTTAGAAGCTTCACTGCCCTGGGGCCCTCACTGCCCTGCAGCTCCAGCACAGCCATCCCAGCACTGGTGTGGCTCAGCCAGGCTCAACAATGGACTAGGTTAGGTTTAAAGATGAGCCTGGTCACCTTGGGCTCAGCAAACCCCAGGGTCCTGAGGTCAACACAGCTCAGCGCCACCCTGGACCTGGGTGCAGGACAAAACAAATTCCAGTGCAGAGGGATAATGGAGATGAACTCTTCAGGGACTCTTGGCTGTGTTGGAGAGAGATGAGAAGGGAAGGGTGGGGACCCAGGGGCCCGGTGAGCACTTGGCACAGGATGGAGATGCCACCAGCCAACGCCACAGCGTCCGGAGGGTGGGGGCTGGGCTGGGCTGTGCTGGTGGCACCTCAGGGGCTAGGGGTGGCTGCAGCAGCAAGGCAGGCTGGGCCCTGATGCATGTAGCGGATGAGCTCTTTGCGATTATCCAGGATGGTGTCAAAACTCTCCTGCAACCGGTTCTGCTGGTCCACAACTTTCTGCTGCAGGCCGTGGATCCAGCGCAGCAAGGCCAGACGCCGGTACATCACCAGCTGGATGTGGTGCTTCTCCTTCTCCTGCTCCTTGAAGCGCTCCTTGTCCTGAAGGTGCTGCACAGCCTCTGCCAGCACCGGGAAGAGGGTCCCCAGCTCAGGCTCAGACAGCCCTGCCTCAGGGGGACTCCTGGCTTGAGGGGCAGAGGCGAGAGGGTTCCAGTTGGTGCTGCAGGTGCTCTCGGGGCTGTCGATGCTGAGGGAGCTGCTGGCGTAGCTGTTGTCCTCTGCAGGGGAGCTCAGGGGCTTGACACATCCCCCAGCCACCTCTTTGGCAGTGTTTTGTCCCCCTGCCCCAGTGACCTCTGCTCCCTCAGGGGAGCTGCGCACCCCCTGCTCAGGGTGCGTGTCGCCCAGGCCTGGGGCAGTGTCCCTAAGCTGGCCCTGGACCATCTGTCTCTGCATTAATAACAGCAGATTATCAGACAGATTTGTGGTGTTTTCGCTCCGGCTGGAGCCCTCCTCTGGCAGGGACCCCGGCACTGGCTGGCTCCAGTTCTTGTTGCTGTCACACACCTCTCCCACGAAGTTGGAGTTGGAGTCTTGTCCATGTCCTGCCCCTGGGATGGCTGTGCCCAGCACTGGGCCCCCCTGGCCCTGCCGGAATGGAGCATTTGCTGGGCAGACAGCAAACATTTTTCTGGTGTCCCTCCTGCAAGAGAGACACGGAGCTGTGACACGTCTGTGGGCACCTGGGCTGGCACAACCAGAGCAGCTACAGTGGGGAAAAACATGCTCATAACTTTATTTACCTCTTTAAAGTTACTGGACCTATCATGAGGTCAGTGCTCCCGGCTGTTTGACTAGTGCTCTCAGCATGTTCCCATGCAACATCATGGACTCATAGATTGGACTGGGTCAGGAAAGACCTTAAAGCTCAATTAGTTCCCACCCTTTGCTATAGGCAGGGATGCTACCCATCCAAGGGCATTTTCCCACCTGATGCAGAAACTCAAAGAGCCACCTCCCATCCCATTTGCCTTCCCTGAGAGCTCCAGTCCAAGCCCATGCTCCTGCAGCATCCCTTGGGTTATGCCAAAGGGCATCACGAGGTGCAGGCACGCAGCTCCAAGTGCTGCTGGCAGCATTTGGGCTGTGGCTGATGCAATGAATTCCATGCTGGTAAAGGTGTGCTTGGAAGGAGATGCTTTCCCAACAGCAATAAATGTCTTTCAGCAGCTGAGACTGCCTGGGCTCCTCTAAACAACCTCTGCATCAGGATGGGGGGCTGGCCTCCACCTGCGCCCAAACTGGCGACCCCACTGGCCTTCCTTCTCTGCAGGACCGGGAACAGACTGGCCCAGAAAAGGAAAGGTTACCCAGCCTTCCTTGCCGGGTCACTGGCTGCGAGAGGCGCTCTCCAATCCCTCTCCTACAAGGACGCGCTCACAGGAATCGCAGGAGGGAACCCATCAGGTTTCCCGGTCTGACCCCGGCCAGCAGAGGGGCAGCAGGACGGGTGCAGGAGCCCCTGCCCAGTCCAGGGTGCTGCCAGGAGACCCCGGGACCCCCGCCCCGCAGCTCCCCGCACTGACATCTGCTCGATCCAGGGCTGGGTGACACCGCCATAAAGCCGCTGCACCCCACGAAAGAGCTGCGCCCCATAGGAGCGCTTCCCCCGCAGGCGTGGGGCCGGGCCGCTCTGCCGGGGGGCTGCGCGGGCGGGGGGGACCGAGCCGGCGAGCATCCCTGCCCCGCAGAGCCCCTGCAGAGCTCCCGCAGAGCCCCCCTGAACCCGCAGCCCGGCCAGGGGCGGTCCGCGACCCCCGGGAGCCGCCACTCCGCTCCCACCGCCCGGCCGGCCCCGAGCACTCACCGCCCCCGGTCCAGCCCTGCTCCAGCCCCGGCCCCGGCCCCGGCCCCGGCCCCGGCCCCGGCCCCGGCCCGGGCTCCGACCGCCGCTGCCGCCGCCGCGGGTGGGAGCGGGAGCGGAAGCGGCCCCGCGTGGGGAGGTGTCACGGGCGCACTTCCGACGGCGCCGGCGGGACTGCTGGGGGGGCACAGTGATGCTGGGGGGGGGACAGAGATGCTGAGGGGGGGCATGGATACTGGGGAGGACAGAGATGCTGGGGGGAACAGGGATGCTGGGAGGAACAGGGATGCTGGGGGGCACAGTGATGTTGAGGGGGATACAGGGATGCTGCTGGGGGAGCACAGGGATGCTGGGGGGGAACAGGGATGTTGGAGGGGATACAGGGATGCTGCTGGGGGACAAGGATGCTGGAAGGGAGTAGGGATACTTGGGAAGAACGAGGATGCTCGGGGGGGGGCGTGTGATGGGGCTCTCAGGGCCGCCCAGTTCTGCCCCCGGCTGCTGTGACTGTGTGTATCCCTATAGGTCCGTGTTCACCCACAGCCTCCCCCGAGAAACTCCCACCTTGTCCTCCAGGGGAAAGGGGAAAACTCCCACCCATGTCAGGGTGGCTGAATTGGGACACTCCTTCCCACCAGCCCCTGGGTCCCGTGAGCCTCAGCAGGTCCCCATGGGGATGGGGATGGAGCTGAGTGCTCAGTGGGTTCTTTATTCCACTCACCCGGAGCCGGGGTGTACGCACTGGGAAAGAAAAAGGCTCAGGAACATCAAACGGTTCCCACGAGCCCCTGCCCGGCTCTGGGGTCACATGAAGCACTGGGAACCTCTCGGAAGATAAAGAGGCTTTGTGGGGCTGGGAGCCACGATGGGGGCAGCCACATACTCCCCAGTCACTCAGAGAGCTGCCCCGGGCAGGGACAGTCCCATCTCCTGCCAGATCGCCCGATGTGGCCTTCCCTGTCATCCTACGTGAGCTCTGGGATAGACATGGCAGGAGCAGAGCACTGGCATCCCAAGCATCTCCAAGCCCAGGCTGGGCTTGGCTCCTCTCACCTACCCTGAGGGAGAGGAAGAAGGGATGGAGATGCTTTCAGGGTGGACAAAGATCCTTCTGAAAGCTCTGGATTTCTGGAGGTGGGATGTAGGGGAAAAACACAGTGAGCAGACATTCCCCCATGACATTGTGAGAGTTCAGAGCAATGGAATATGTGAGCAATAAATAAGTTGTTTTAATTTCTCATCTGTCTGACAGACCCCTTGATGGTGTCCCCTGCTCCTGGCTGCTCCAAAGGCTTCAACAACTCCATGGAGGAGCAGTCAGAGGGGCAGAACCAAGAGCTGTAACTGGGACACTTGGGCTGCAGCTCCAGGGGAAGCCTGAGATTAAAGAAACAAACCCTGTCGGACAGGAAAGGCAGGAGCTGACTCAGGCATCTGGGAACAGGCAGGAGAGAAACAGGAGTTTGGGCGCACAATGGGCTTAGTTCAGCCTTTGCCATCAGCCGAGCCTTTGCTTTGTGCTACTCTGGGCTTCACTCCCATTGTGGCCTGAATTCAAACTGAATGAAATTTTCATCACTGAGAGCACAGAGGGAATTTTGATCAATTCAGGGACCTTCTCCCCTGGTTTACCAAGAGGCATATCCCAAACAGGCCTTTTCCACCTCTGGTTTAGATTTCAACAGTGCAGGAAACCATGAGAGCCACTGGAGTTTAGTTACAGGGCAGAACAGGGTTTGCTCCTCTCTCAGCTTTGCTTGTCCCCACCCCGGGAATCCCTGCAGGCCATGGGGGGCTGGAGCCTACTGCAAACCTGCTGCTCTGGCTCTGGCTTCACTGGTTTGAGGGGTTTGGGGTTGCTCCCCCAAGTGCCAACCATGGTGGGAGCCAGGGAAGGTCTGCGTTCACAGAGGGATCCAGAAGCCGTGTTTTTACGGGTCTGTCTCACTGGGATTTTGCACTGCTGCAGCTCAGGTTCAGCCCAGCCCCTGGGATTGTCTGTGTCTGATGGAGACCAGCAGGATTTGCTGCTTCCTGTGAAAGCAGTTCCATTCCTCTGCAAGCCACTGTTCCCTCAGCCACAGTTGTCCCTCGCTGCAAGGACCTGCCTATGGGAACACTATGGGGAACCCCAGAGCAGGGAGCCCCAGCTTGGGCACAGAGTAGAGGGGACATGGGGACTCCAGGAGGGCTGGTCTGGTCCTTTTGGGGACAGTTGCAAAGGGGTTTGGAAGTGGAAGGGGCTTAGCGATGGACTTCAGAGTAATCTTCCCCTCCCCTTCCCCCACTTTGTTCCAGAAATAAATTAAAAGATCTCTGTCCAGGAAATTAAAAACGATTTAAGAAGGCTGAGCACAGGACTTGATGCGCTGGGGTTTTGGGGCAGGGAAGGGAGAAGGGTGCTGGGGTGACCCACTGGAGCTTCTCCAGGAGGTAGTGGTACCTGAGTACTCCACCAGAGTACTCCACCTGGCACCCAGATGTTGTGCCCTTCCCTGGCCTCAGGGCCTGTCCTAGCTGGGGTAGCCTCTGTGACCTTGTACCAGCAGAGTCCTGGCGCTGTCACAGGGACGTACCAGAGATGGGAGCATGGCATGGGCCATGGTGGAAATCATCCTTCAATCCCAGGACCCAGCTCCCCATTCCCTGCGCTCATCCTGCTCAGGGAAGCCACTGTCTGCTTCTCATCTGCCATGTGTCCCACTAGCCGCTGCAATGTGCCACAGGCTTCAAACCAAATTGGTCCCAGAAGGAGCCCTGGCACTTGGCCCCGTGCCAGCATGACACCAGCTCTGTGTCACGGCCACTCTGACCCCTCTGCCGGGAAGGAGTTCAAAGCTGCTTGGGTGCAAGATGGGCTGGGGATGCACGGCCTTGCTGGGAGCCAGGGCTGCAGGGGCAGGCGAGGGCTGGTGCTGCTGCTCCTCAGGTTCTGCCTGCAAACCACCGGCTCTCTGCACAGAACCACCCTGAGCATCCCACCATGTCCCTGAGAGCATTTTCCAAACACTTCTGGAGCTCTGACAGCCTTGGGGGTGTGACCATTCCCTGGAAAGCCTGTTCAGTGCTCTACCACCTTCTGGTAGAGAACTCTTTCCTGATAGCCAACCTAAACCTCCTAGTGATGCTTGGATGGGCTCATGCTGGCATCTTCAAGCCTTGGGCACTCCAGCACCAGCCCAGGTCACAGCTCACCCAGGAGCCACCATCCCACTCATGGGCTCATCTTGGTGTCCCAGTGCTGAGATGGGCAGCTTGTCCTGAAAGAGTTAAGGGTGAAACATTGCAAATACAGAAAAAAAAAGAAAAAATACAAATAAAAAAGTGCCCTGAACCACATGCGACCTAACCTCCCCAGCGGCTCATCTGAGTTTAATAATGGAGGAGGGAAATCTCCCAAAAAGCTCTCAGAGAAATTAAAGTAAACAGTGTGCTGACCTCCAGCCCACACTGCCCTGATGCTGACTCGCTGGCCACAGCGCTCTGCGTTCCCTGGCATTCCCTGTAATTGTAAACACATTTGGGTAAATACAAGGGGAAGGGAGCGAGGGGATCCTGGGGAAGCAGCTCTCCCCATAGCTAGCTGCAACTGGGGCTGAGCATTGGGTCAAAGCCATGGGTGACACCTCTGAGCAATGTGGGCATGGATGTCCCTGGCTGTGAGGGGCTTCACAGGGACTGAGGGCCGTGAGGATTGAGGTCCAATGTTGCCAGTGAGAACAGGAGCACTGGGACCACCACGCTGCCCTGTGACTGCAGAGTTGGGGCTGGATAACTTCGTGTTGGGAGCAGTGGCACATCCTGCAGATGGAGAGAGGAAGACGAGGATGATGCTATTAACAGGTTTGTCCTCTTGGCCTCACAAAATTTAAAAACAACACTCTTATTTTCATAGATCCTGCTCATTTTTTTAGGCTGAGGAAAAGAAAAGCAACCCCAGGCTGTACAAGTGCTGGCATTCCTCTCTGGAGAAGGGCCGGAGAAGCCGCTGGTCTGGAGGGAGGAAGCATCACTGCCAGCCCAGCGCCATCCCTGGCCTTGCTCCATCTTCATCCCCAGCCCCAGCCCTCTCACATACAGCATCCCATGGACTCCATTATTCATAGGATTTTCTGGGGAAAACACCACTTGAAGGCTGGGGAAGGGGCAGAGGGGGCTGGATCTAGGTGACCCCCTCCCCTTATCTGCAGCCCCAGCCCCAGTCCTGCTGCCTGATGTCTACCTGTAACCCGAATTCCTTTTCAATCAGAATTAAAAGCAGTGGCAGATGCACTGCATTTGGTGAAAAATGACAGGAATCTGCAGCCAGATTTGATTTCACAGGAGCTGTGAATCCCACGGAGGCCAGACTGTTTGCAGCAGCCTGGAGGTCAGAGCCTGCTCGCTGCAACAGCTCCCAGCCCCGAGAATCAGCCTTTGGGTAGCACCCGGAGGAGGTGGAGGAAAAGGCTGAGGGGAGGCCGGAGGAGGTGCGACCCTCCCGCCGCAGGGCTGAGCCCCAGTGATGGGGACTTTGGGACACGCAGCTCTGTCACGCAGCGCGGGCACAGACCCCCTTGGCAAAGAACTCATTCTGAGGAGGAAGCCTCCTTACTCTTTGCTTTCCTAAAACCCCTCCAAAAATGGATTTCTCTTGGCCAAGCGAGCAGGGCTCTGCCAGGGCTGGCCCCCGCTGACGTTTCCTCTGCGGTTTATCAGCTGCTGAGCCACAAAAGGGGAATATTGCTGCCGACTCCACCCCTTCCATCGGACCAGGACCCAAAAATCACCATTTCCTCTTGGCCTGTGAATCACTAATAAACTCCAGACAGAAAGGTCTGATTAGGAAATGGTTTGGGAAATGGCAAGGACGGGGGAGGGACGGGCGCTCGCCACAGCCGGTGCTTCTGGCTTTGCCCCTCGGCGTCACCTCCCAGAGCTGCGGGCAGGTCCCTGCCTTGGGCTCCTCAAATCTGCTCCAGCCACGGCCCCAACCCCGTCTGGCTGCAGGCAGAGCTCTCCAGTGGATGAATCTATTTCTCGGCAAG